CCTGAGCTATGGGCTCGAAGGGCGATGGGTATCCTTACATACAGCTTGAGGGTACAACTCTCAGGGTTGGACATGATGGAGAATGATGAACAGCAAATTGCAATCACACAAACTGCACCAGGTTTTAGACGTCGGACTTCATGCATGGCCAGCCTCAGCTGGTTTGAAAAGGACAATGCTTTTTGACCCGTTGGTCCACAAACAGGGGCTAGGCTTGGTGCGCAAATCCACTTGTGGTGGTGAGGTCCATGCACAAAGGATTGTACTCCAAATCAATGGAAGAGCCCTTTGCTCCAGTGGCCTCACAAAAGACAGCCACAAGACTAAGGCCTTATAATGTATAATGAGGCGCCTCCAATGCCCGGGACACTTCACCAGCCCCAGCGAACAGTTCCAAAAAGTCCAAATCCTGCCAGGACTTAAGGACCCTGGAAGGCAAGCCGGGGCTTGGGACGCAGGGCTTGGGTTGAAGGGGTTGGGGTGAAGGCCAGTCCTCAACCTGAGCGGTGTTGGTGCTGAACCCCAAAAGCAGCCATGCCAAAATTGCCATTTTCGGCACCCTGTACCGAAGCATTTCCGCAACCACCATAGCTAGGAGTTCCACTTTGTATCCTAGCCAACTTCCTTGAGATCCTGAGCTAGAGCTTATTGATGCAAACCATGCGTATGCACCATGCGCTTGAACTTGTCTAGGCAAAGCTAGACCAACTCTTTCCCACCTGGCAGTGTCAAGTATAGGCCTCAAGGCCAACACTGCATACCCCAAATTATGATGTCACACAAAGCGGCGCTTCTTCAGCTCCGCAGGTGACAAGGACGCTAAAAGTTCCGCCCTCCTATCAGAGAGGTTCCAAGCATCAGAGGCCTCACGGAAGGAAACACCTTTGTCCTTTCGGTAATTGGAAATCCACGCTTTCCTCTCTTGTCCAAACTCACCGGCTTTGTAGGTAGATTCCTGCTTTGCAGGAGCCTTGCTTGGGGCACCCTTGGAAACTGTTGTTTTCTTTTTGGTTTTCTTTTTGGGGTGGGGTGAGCCAGGTTCGACTTCACCATCCTCAGCCTCACTTTCATATTCCTCTTGGCCATTTTTCCACCTTATACACAACAACCCTCACACTCACCAAACCACTTGGGGAACTTAAGAGCTAAGGGGCTGTGAGCTGGGCAGGATGGGAGCCGGAAGAGGGTCACCATGCAACTTCTTCAGGGATTCCAAGACCTCGAGGATACAAACAAATGTAAATCCAAACAGTTTGAAACCCACTTATCCTGAGGTCAACACCTGCTGGGGGACTTTGGGCTTCTCAGGCGACTCCAAAACAGCGAGGGCACGGGCTTTCCACTTTTCAGCTAGGTTCCTTGGTTCACAACACACTGAACGGCTACTTGCATTTAGCAGCTTTCTACAACCCCCCCAAAACTGACCAACAAGGTTCGCAAGCATCACCGCGCGATCCACAGGCTCTGGTGTCTTCTCCACTGGTTGGCGCCCTGCCTTGGACATTGGGGCGAGGGTTTGAAGTGGATGGGGGGCAAGATCAACAACTCATACTAGTATAGAGCACAGCTACAGGTGCCGGGGACGGAGTGCACTGAGATTCAATGGTGCTCAGGGTCTCAATGAACTCAGGGTCAGATTCTTGTTCGGTGTCCTTGGGCCAACATGAGTTTTACAAAGTATTTTTAGCAAAAGGTACAGGGTTCAGCCCAGTATCAGATGAAGCGTCTTTATGAGAATGAGAAGCGCGAATTTCTTTCTTGAGTTCATCAATGCCTTTCTTCCTTGATCCAGGAGCCCTGCGGTTCAACTCCTTGAATTTGGTCACCTGAGTTTTCCACCCAAGTATTACCACCATCCCATATGCATGTAACCAACCCCATGTCTGCAGATTTGCTTAGCCCCTCACCAACTTTCTAATAGCTTCGCCATTCTTATTTGCCCACTTTGTGGCTGCAGGAACATGGACAGAAATACCTCTAGGAAGTTTCTTCTTTACCTTGGCATAGTTCTTCAAAGCATCCGCTATGACATACGCACTCATCCTTGTCCTGTCCGGATCAGATCCACGGATAGTGGCTGCTATCACCTGGGAGGGTGGAAGTTATTTGGCACAGGTTTAAGGAGTGGTGGTCCTAGTCTCAACAATTAGGATACCGGGTACTTGGAGCCCTTGCAATGGGAAGGTCACATAGGAGAGTACAAGGGTAACTTGAGCTTGGAGGCTCTGGGGTTTGCTTCCACATCCTTCCTTGTGCATGGTTCCTTCGCTTTCATGAGTTTCCCAGAGACATCCACCACCAGCGATAGCCCAACCTGGGCGCCAAATGGGTAAAGGTGATGTGGTTTCTCACCAAATTCCATTCCTTTATTTCAGCAACACTGTTAAGGTGAGAAGCATCATCCAAAGATTCTTCCTTTACCAGCTCCTCTGAAATCCTCTTGGATTCCTCAGAGATGCCTTCCAAGGCTCCATCCACCTCAGCCATTGCTGGCTGCCCCGGCACTCTGAGAGCCAGCATTGCAGACAGAACCACGCACATAGTTTCCAACAATCACCCCAAAACCCACAAGACCCTGAAAATATCCTCACCAAACTTCAAGTGTTGCACCCCCACCCTGCAGGGCACCAGAAGTTCTCTTGCCATAGAGGTTTCGAAGGCGGCACTCCTTCAAGACCTGCGGTGTAGTGTGGGCAGTGCGGGGATGGCTTTCCAACATCAGCAGAACTCAAGAAATGTCATACTTAAGCTCCATATGTTGCTACAGTCTTAAGACATGGCGAAGTACAAGCTCAAAGCCACCCCTGGCCTTCCGATGAGACAATCCTTTCCCCATCCGCTCCAGAAGAAAGCGATCGCATGGGCAAGCTGGGTGCAAGGTTGCACACGGAGTAGTGGGAATATGGTGGCTTGGACCCTATATGTTGTGTTGCATTGTGGTTTATATACTGTCCTATTTAATTTACACACTCACAGAAACTTATCATTCCAGTTTGTACTATGCAGGTGATATCTAGCTTGTGACATGTTCGCCCCTACAAACAACCCCCTAATATGTTGAGCAAAAAAGGGATTGCAAGTGGCCAGCTGGGTTGCAAGCGCGCTGCATACATGGAATGAGGTGATGGAGCAGTGGACATGGGACATAGAATAAGACAGGGTTTGGGGGGGTGGTGGGGTTGTTTCCTCCATGGTGTAAATATATAAATATATCTACATATTTATACAAAGGTGCCCAAAACACCTTGTTGAGCACACATTGCATCAAAATTCTTGCACTGACCAAGAAATGGCCAGTTGGCATCTGCTTGGCTACAACCCAGGCCATACGTCTGTTAAATTTAGCATGCATTTCAAATGCTGCCTAAAAAAAAGCTTTTTCCCAAACGTATGTTAAGGAAAACTTTTAGCAAGCATATGGTCCTCAAGGTAGTGCTTTGCTGCTTGTGTACATCTACACAACTGGCAATGACCCAAGATCTAATCATCCACAGCGCCAATGCTTGGCAATGGCCCAATCCATCCACACCCTCAAGCACCAACACTTGGCAGATGAAACTAATACAGTAATTACAAATTACAATGCATGATAGCTCCTTCAGTCAGAACCTTGGGACTCCTCCACAGCTGGATGTGCGTCGCCTTCAATTGCGTCATCCTCTGGCTCCGGTGAGTCCTCTTTGTTCTGCGACTCCTCTGCCTGTGAGTCTTTGGTTTCATCGGCCTTGCGCTTTCGAGTGCGACCCAAAGCCTGTGCCTCCTTCTCGTCCATGATGCATGACCGAAGGTACTCCAAGTTCACCTGAGTGTACTCAACCCACAGATCGGAGGACTGGACGCTCCACAAGACCTGCATTCTCACCGATGCTGTCGTCTGCGTCTCTGGCGTGTCTAAGTACACGCTATGGCCCGCTATTGCCCTGTCGGATTCGCGCGCTTGGGTATCCTTCTTTTTCACCCTGAGGCTCATGTTAGGGCGTTCTTCACAGGCCTCTGCCTCGGACAACGCTTTCCTCAAAGCACTGTTGCAGGCCTGCCGCCGCAACTTCAAGAGCGAATCAAGGCATTGGTAGTTCGCTGAGTTGGATTGTTTTCCACCGCGGCGCTCCATTGTCTGACCAGTGGCGAACTTGCAGAACCCGCGATCCCACTTTGAAATCTTGATGTACTTGGTGTTCTCCACAGTGCATGTGGTGGGAATCCAAAGAGACTTGGAACCCTGGATCTCCACAGCGTCCACTTCCTTCAATGTGAAAGAGGGGCGGTCAGACATGGCAAATGCAGGCTCAGGCGCCTAAAGCCTGCACACTCAACACTCAAATGAGGGCTCACATGAGATTGAATACAAAAGCGGCGGTTATTCCTTTGTGGCGAGCGTGCCCTGCCACGTGCGAGCGCATGGCCCTGCACATGCGTGGAAAACATGTCACCAAGAGCATCAATGACTGTATGACTGCAGTGACTAACAGAGAGGCTTCTCATCCACGATGACAGAAGGCATACGCACCAAGGATATCAACAATATGATTGCAAAAGAGCTTTAGTTGATTGATCATCAAAAATAACATGCGCTGGTCAAAAGAAACAACCTTGACTCATCGAAGGCCCTCTCCACTCGAGTGCGCTCTCCTCTGTTGCATGCCCGGCACGCCTGTCAGCAGGGCATGAGAGATTGGCAAACGCAATTCGTCGAATGAATGCACCACGACTGCGCGCAACCTAACGAACTGCAAATGCAAACGCAATTCAAGAAATCGAACACGCAGAATCAAGTGAATGCATCACATGGCATGAAATACTCACCACCACCCAAAACAAACATTTCGCCGAAAGTGAGAAGCAAACAGCTGGCAGTTTTTCGGTTTCCTTCGCAGCTGTCAGCTCACGTCCAAGTACCAGATTCATCGATCCCTTCATCGATCCCTTTGCAAGCTTCAAAAACCGTGGCCAAGCCTCAAAAACCGTGGCGCATGCCTCTTGAACTGTGATCTCACGTGGCCTCATTTGGCCTTTCGCGCCTTCTTCTTCGGATGCCCTGCTGGATCTTCCGCGGCCTCAGCCTCCACCTTGGGCCTATAGACCAGCAATTGTTCTCCCTTCTTCACAGCCTTCATGTTCCTCAACACTGGAACTTTCAGCTCCTTGACCTGTTGCCTGCCCAGCGCCGGCCAGATCTCCATGTTGGCCTTGCTTTCATCCTCTGTGCTCCGCACCATGAAAGCCGGGCTCACAAGGCAACCCTCCTTCAAAGGATGCGGCATGAGCCACATGTCAAAGACAGCTTCGCCAATCTTCTTCTGGCCCATGGAGATCGCCGAAGGCGGAATCTGTTTTCCCTTCGTGGCCTCCTGCACCTGAATCTTTGAGGTCACTGGGATGATCTGCAAGGCATGCTTCGAGATCGCCTTTGCTGCAATCACGTCTTTCGCAGGTTTGGTCTGCAACGTAATCAGGCCTTCCAGGCTCTTCTTCTTGGCGGCCTCGCAAAGGGCCAAGCATGCACCAGCCTGGAGCTCCATGACTGAGACCTCCACCGACTTGAACGGCTCCCAGTCTTCCCAGGCAAGAAACTCAATGGGCGCCTTGGCCTTCACTGTCTGCCAATGGCCCATCAGAAACTCCTGCGCACCAACAGTCATGGTCGTCTTTGAATCTAGGTTGATCGTGACTTTCTCCGAAGTCATGGCCACAATCTCGCCCTCCTCTTTGGTCTTCTTGTGGAGCACCCGCTGGCTCACAGCGAAGCCTGCCTCTTCCAAGGCTGCGGTGGTGTATTGTTTCCCGCTCTCGTCGTACTCACGCATCCTGCATGGGTGTTTGACGATGCCATCAAAACATGTACCAAAGCGACAAGCAGGGTTTCTATGTCCATCTTTGTATATGCATGGGTTCAACTCCTTAATCTCAACGCATGAAAACAAATAAAGCGTAACAAAACCTACAATCCAACAACAAACCGTGGTCGTACATGCGGCGTGCCAATCATTGCACTGCCAATTGGCGAGTCATATTCACAGATATGACCCTGCCAAACCAATAACACGCACACACACATGCACGTATATGCAAGGTTCCTCGGAGCAGCCGGAAGAGAGTGACTGGCGGCTGCTGAAGCCGAACCACCCGAGGTTGTCGTGCCTGAACTGGATGGACGCCATGGGGAGACGAGGTCAGGAGTCTTCAAACCAGAATGCTCCCTCATCAGCATCACTGCACTGTGAGCAACACTTTGCAAACTGTCGTGCTGCTCTTTGCCTGGCTCCTTCTTCTGCAACAGGCAGAACATCAAAGAGATCTCAAAGTCACCTTGATGCTGCAACTTGACCTCAGCTGGCACGTCAAGGTCCTTGAAGAGCTTCTGCACATCCGTGATCAACCCCTCACATTCCTCCAGCTGTGGCATCATACCTGACTTCTGGCTGAAGAGACGTCGAAGGTCGCTGGCCGTGATCCGAGACTCAGTGGTGAAGAGTGCTTTAAGAAGCGCATGGCGGCACTTGGGGAATTGTTGCGCTCCCGTGTGTCGCATCTCGGTTGCGAGGGATTCGTACACCTCGGCTGCCAAGTGCCTTGCAGGCACGCACTTGATGCGCAAGAAGGCCTCCGTCTCTCTCAGGAACTCACCTGATCGCCCCCCAGCGAAGTGCATGACGAAGGTGTACATGCGCGGCACTGCACCTGCATTCGGGGGCTTGGAACGCAGCGCCTGCATTTTCGCCTTGTCGTAGGCTGCACCGCGCGCAATGGCCGTGTGCAGCTTCTTCATCACCTGAAGGTCAGTCTCATGCCTCGCCAGCTGCCCAGCTGCATTGTAAGCTGCCTGCACTGTCTCGGCCAGCGTTGGCCAGGTGGTGGAGCAAGTGGCCTCAAGCACCATCCATGTCTCGCCATCAACGATGGCCTTGTAGAAGGCGCCATCCTTCGACGCAAGCCTCTCTAGCGAGAGTCGGCCGTCCAACGTGAGCTCATCATCCTTGTGTTCCACATGCGATGCGAAGCACCTCATGGCGTAGTTGGCGTGAGAGCCAGCCAAACTTGCGTACCTGATCATGTCACTTGCGCCACCCAAAAGGCCATGGGCCTCCTCCTGCAACTTCCTGTTGAAGGCCTGGACCCTTTCCAGCTCTGCGCCCTGCAGCTGAATTGCCACCCCCTTGAACTCCTGGCTGTCGTAGCCGATGTCGCTGATCTCGGAGCACAACCTGTGGCAGTCGAAGGCCGACACACCGAGACCATCTCGGTTAGCGTCATGCACGCCCACCTTCATGCAACTCAGGCATTGGCGGCATGCCAAGCCATGGTGTTCCAACACCTGCATGATCTTCCGCACAGATCCCACTAATGCCTTCGTGTAGGCATTCTGCAGGAGGTTTCGCACCTCCTCTTCGACTTCTGGCTTGACAGCCATCGCACTGATCGAAAAACAAAGTCCAATTGAATAGTTAGTGAACAAGAAGTTACATTCTGACCATGCAACCATTGCATGTGATGTACATGCTCCACGAGACTGAAAACATGCTCGTTGTCACCATGTTCATGTTCATCCATGTTCATGCTCATGTTCATCCATGTTCAGGTTCACGTTCACCCATTCATGTTCATGTTCATATACTCCATGTTCATGTTCATGACGTATATACACGCATACGTCGCTTTGGACCAACATACACGCAACATCTCGAAACAGTAAGTAGTAAGGAATCATGAGTCATAAGCGCAATCTCTCAAAGGATGTCTGTCAGTCTCTCATGTTGCAAAAGGACACGCCTCCCACAGGTGCACTATACCCTGCCTTCCCTGCTGACTGGCGAGCATGCACTGCCCTGCCATGAGCGGGACTCACTCCAAGGTTGCCTGGCGGGGCCGGAGCTGAGCTGTAAGCACCAAGTTCCACAAGTCCCACAATTCCCACAGTCAAGTCCCACAAGTCTCCACAAGTCTCTCACGACCAACCCTCTCAACAGGAAAGCTCCTATAAAACGTTTCAAGTGTTTCAAGTTTCACATTTCAAGTTTGGGAAGGACTTCAAACAACGAACGACTTCAAAGAACGTGCACGAAGGACAAATCAACTTTTTCTCAAACACTGAGCCGAGCAATTCATATCACCTTCATTGCGCATGAAGGTTTGCCACCCAAGAACTCGTGCTAGACTCCTTGGTCCGTGTTTCAGACGGGTCGAAAGAATCTCATACGCGCATCATGAAGTTAGGAGGTTCAAAGTTAGGCCTCCACTGAGCTGATTGCACAGCGTCGCGGATGTAAAATCCGAGTGGCCATCTGCATAGTTGGGCCAACTCATCGAACGCAGTTGCCAACTTACAGATGCCAGCGAAGACCAAAAACTGTTGCTGCAGGTCGATGACGGTCAAGTACCTCTCCACATCCTTCTGGAAGGCGTTGGCGCATGTGCGCCACTCCCTCTCCCAGTTCTCTCGCAGTGGTTGCTCCCGCAACCACCCAAAGCGATCGAACCAGAATCGCTGTCCGCCACCGTTGCACAGGAATGCCACCTCGGTCTTTAAGGCATGCTCAGCAGCTTGGAGCTGATGCTGCGCCTTTACCAAACTCCGAGTCACCTCCTGCGGCAAGGCCCAACACGCTTGCATGGCCCTCTCAACTGACACCAGGACGCGGGTCGCTCTAACGGCACGCTCCACATCGGTACGCGCGTGCCGAAGCATAAAGGAGGCGATCCATGCCAACAACAGAGGCGCTGCCATTACGATCCAACCCAATCAGTGATCCAATCTACAATAACGGTAATGAGAGCCAAACCGCTATCAAACAAGGCGAGACGCATCCCTGCCAACAAGCGAGCAAAAGCCCTGCTCACATTAACGACATTCAACAATTGATTGCGCAGCAGGCCGCTATATGCAATGCACTCATTTATAGGCTCATATCAGATGATTGATTGAGCATCAACTATAACATGTACTGATCAAAAGTAACAATTCCCTCATCAAATGACTTCTCAACATGTCTGATCAAAAGAAACAACCTTGACTCACTTCCCTCATCAAATGCCCTCTCGTGACATATCAGACGACTTCAAACAGCTGGAAAACATGAATTCAGCCAAAGACATGGCACCGCAACACTTCATGACCCAAATTGGCGCCTTCTCAACTGGCGTTCGCCAAATGCCCATGGATCCAATTCTGCCTCATGGATGCATTCGCCAAATTCCATGTACAAGATCACTGACCGTACGTCGAACTATGCAGGCATGTGCGTGATCACGTACAAACATGTGCAGATCCATGAGGCATGCATTGCTGGCATGAAGACATTCACTGAAAGACAGAATGAGAGGCCAATATTTCTCTATAGTGGCTCTAGTTAGCTTGACTCCATGGTCGGTATCTCAAAGAGAAACAAATCCCACCTACCCTCCACTCTGGGCTCACCGCAGTCCCTTCGTCCAAGTTCCATCATCGGCGCAATCGTCACCGAACAAAAGGGTTTGACTGATATATATATTATCTGTGCAGCCCTCCCCGCTGCACAGGGTGGCACCCTCCTCCCCGCAAAAAATCGGTGCCTTCCTTTTGATATGTTTACATATATACATCTGCAAATGGAAAATAAAAAAGAAAACAAAAACAAAACAAACAATGACAACCACTCCAAACAACAAGTTGTGGAAACTTTCTGCGGATACTTACAAAAATCCTATCAAAATCAAACTGCAAATGCCAACAAAAGAAAAAAACAAGTCAAAAAAATATCGACAAGAAACACATCGTCAAAAATATGTGGAAACGTTTTGTGCGGGCCCTCACAAAAATAAAAGTAAACACTTGCACTGCAAACGCCTTCGGAAAAAATAACTCTAGGGAAGAAAACAAATGCACGCATTGTATGCATTGTTCTGTGCACGCATGCGCCTTTCCCGTGCACGCAAGCATTCGCCACGTAGCCCACAAGCGCACTTAACATACTTAGTAAGTTCCAGTTAGCCAACATACATAAATCACCTAAGTTACTTACCCCACATGCTCGTAAGCACGACAACTTACTTACACAACTTAGCGCAAACTACTTACATTAAAGGCTAAGTAGATACTAAGTTGCCTTGCTACTTAACATAAATCTAAGCATTTACATGTTGACGCTAAGTACTTAACAAATAATACAAACACTATATGTATATTGACTGGTTTATATGTAGGTTTGGCCATGTTATAAGCAATGTTACTGAAGATATATATTCTTTTGGGTAACATATAGGTTCATTGCTAAGCACACTATCCGCTGTAGCCACTTAGCAACCACCACGGGCATCCAAGTGTAAAGGGTCCATGCGAGGTGCCACTAATATATCCTTACCAAATTTCACTACATGTTGCATCATGTGCACCACAGCGCCCATTTCTGCAAAGCAGCCAATCTTGCCAACGCTCCGTATGCCTCATTATGCCTCCTCAAAAAAGGACTGATTTGAAAGCTAGAGCTATTAAGAGTGTTACCTACCACCTGCGCTACTTGCATAACAAAGTGTCCGTCATGTTCCACCCCCACTTGATCGCTTCTTTGGTCTCTTCAGTGGAGAGCCGGCAGTGGGCTCTACACTGCCGGACCTCAACAGCAAGCGCCAGATAGCAGCGTACCACCGAACCTCAACAGCAAGCGCCAGGTCGCAGTGGGCACTGGCGGACCTCAAGAGCAAGCGCCAGAGCGCAGTGGGCACTGCCGGACCTCAACAGAAAGCGCCCAGATCGCAGTGGGCACGTATACCGGACCTCAACAGCAAGCTCCAGATCACAGTGGACCTCAACCGTCAGCTCCCTCCCAATCGCAGTGAGCGCTGGCGCTGCCGGACCTTGTCAGAATATACGCCAGATAGAAGGTCAGAATACATGCTAGATAGAATGCCAGAAATGCACCCAATATTGAATGCCACGCAGAATGCCAGAGTATATGCCAGCAATGATGCCAGATAAAATGCAAGCAGCCATGGTAAATAGAATGCCAGCAACTTTGCCAGATAGAGCTCAGACTATCTTAGATGCCAGGTAGAATGTCTGATTTTATGTCAGATAGAATGCCAGGATATCTTTGAGGGCAGAACAAATGTCGGAATACATGTCCGAATAATTCAGAATACATACCCGCACTGAAGTTGGCCCATTTGTCACAGCACATGTCAGACGTTAAAAAGTGTCAGAACACACGCCAACAAAGATGTCAGAACACAGTCCAGAACGTTTCCCAGCCTTTATGATAGATGATGTGTCAAAGCACAAACCAGAATTGATGCCAAAACCAGGGTGGGGATCACTAAGTAAATTATGTATTGTTTCTGTTTTCCCGGTGAATATATGTCATATTCGTCATATTTACGCCACCATGCATCGGTTGGGTTAGAGAAAGAATATAACTGAAGCCTGGGGGTCAGGAATTCTTTGCACAAACACTGTTGGTCTTCCAATCCGGCCCACCAAGCCAGACCTAACATGAACCGATTCCTGTTTAGGATGTCAACCGAAACCAGTTTAGGTGAGTTCCAAGCCACAAAGCGCTTGGAAGCACTTGACACGCCCCTTGGAAGCACCTTTGTCCGGGTTTATCAAGGTATAGGATTGTATAGGAAAATGTACCCAGTGAAAGAAAGAACACTTGGCAAAAACGAAACGAACGAAGCTGAAATTGAGCAACCCGGGCAATAGACCAAGAAAGAACACAATATGTACAAAAAACGTATTTGGACAAACATGAACCTGACAATAGACGGCATGCGAGGCCTCATGCAATCATTACACGCACATGGTCGTCCTCTTTCAGCGTTTCACTTCATAGGGCACCCGAATCGTTTGACCGCCGTCTTGACCATGTCGTGGTCATGGCCCACCATGTTTTTGTTTTTTTTTTTCAATAGCCGCGTCATCCCGAACAACGAGTGTTTTACTAAGGATTTGACACAAAACAAGATCAACCATTTTTCAAAACCAGGGCATGCTTTTGTGGGCCACGGCGAGCCTCTCTGCGAACTTGCTGCCGAAGAAAAACAACAAATGAATCCCGCCAAAGACATCTATAGGGATCCAAGTCTCAGAAGGTATGACTGGACCCTCCAAACCTACATGACAGTGTCTCCAATCACCTTCTGAGAACGTACTTGGATCCCTATAAGACAATGCAAACAAAAAGTTAGGGCGGTGGGTCATGCCTTCTCTTTTTGCAGGGCGCCAACATGGGTGACAAGATTCTTCTTTTTCGCAAGTCACGACTGCTCCTCAGGTTTCCTTGAAAGAATATCAATATCTTTTATGTTTTAGAATACCAACAACATCAAACAACAGATCCAAGGGTCTGGGATGAAGACATAAAAAACAGTTAACAGAAAGAGTCCGTGAACACCAACAGTCCATCTTTCTTCCACGGGTCTCCCATCACCCCGGGC